TGTTTGTGTTTTTCCTTCCCTGAGTAAAACTGAAGATCTTTTCCTGCCATTCATGCAATAATACAAATAGTTTGTAGTGAAACGTTGTGTTTGTCATACGGGAAATGTGTTGATGATAAAAGTTAGTTGATGAAAGGTGAACTGCAGCAGACTCAGTGCATGGCTTCAAACATTAATAAAAAACCCCAAAAACAAAAGTCCTCATGAGAACTCCTCATTATTATTCATCCAAACACCAGCTGTTTCATCAAAACTGAACTAAAAGTCACTCCTCAGTTTAAAACTGGTACACTACATGCTGACTCTAAACAATCCATCTTGCCTGCCTGCAGAGCAAATTTCCCTCAGGGGACAATAAAGTTAAATTAATCCAAATATTTCATTGTCAACAGGTGAGATTCTGTCTAGCAGATAAAAAGTTTTCAAGTTCAGTTTTTTTGGGGGGTTGTTGCATTGCAGAATCATGTCTTCATGATGCTTCTGAAGCACAACAACACAAATGACAACACGTGGACAACACAACCACATTCTGTATTATATACAGTCATGGAAAAAATGACTAGACCACCCTTGTTTTCTTCAGTATCTTGTTCATTTTAATGCCTAGTGTAGAGGCAGGGATGTGTGTTGTCACTGTTCAGTCGGGGTCGTGGGTGTGTTTTGATGTGTGTGTGGGCGGAGCTGTTTGTCTGTGGGTGTGTGACTGTGGCTGAATGATTGCTTCACAGATACCACCTGCACCTACCTGTGAACTTTGTTTGCTTGTTGCAGAGAGAGGGAGAGGTAGGGTGCCATATTTTCTATCATAGCCTACAAGTTCATTATTGCCACATGTATGTTTTTTGTTTTTTTGTTGAAATAAACACGCTCAGCTGCAGTAATGGCTTCATGCTTCTTCCTTGGAGTCAGTGTGTCAGACAGAGCCCTTTTTTCTCCCCTCAGTGACTCATTTAGTCTTGATGGTCACATTACACCTGATACCACTAAAGATATGATACCTGAAGACAACGGCACGACAAGAAAGGCAGGTGATTACATAATACTCTGTGTCCTATTTGACATGCTTCAGCTTCATTGTATTTCCAGGGTATATAAGAGGACATTTCATGTCATAAGCACCACTGCACATGTAAAGGCCTGGAGTGGTTTCCTGTTTACATTCAAGCCATAGCACAACTCAGACGTTGTCACCTCTCACATAATGCCTCAAACAAAAGAATTGTGTGAAGCCACAAAGGCAGCCATCTTGGCACTGCTGGAAAGTGGCACGAGTGAGAGACAGGTAGTGAAAAAATTGAAGATCTCCAAGACAGCCGTTCATTACACCAAGAAAAAACAAGCCCAACATGGTGCTACCAAATTGGTAGCTGGTTGCGGCAGGAAACGTCTTTCTACCCCACGAGATGACCGAGCACTTGTCACAACCCGGTAAATAGATTATGACAAAAGAGGGGAGACGAACAGCTATTGCCAGATTTAAGTGTTACTTTTATTAACTGCTTAAATTAATCCTTCCAAAGTGAGATGTGTAAGTCAGTGATATCAGTCGTGTAGGTGCAGATGCCTGGATGCGATGTGGTGCCAGGTGTTGTCTGATGTGGAGCCCAAACCAAAATGCCACAAGCATGACCAGAGAGAGCAGGAGCTGAGGGGTTGGCCCTTCTGTAGCCTGGGAGCGCTGGGCCCGAGCGCGCCAAGCAGGTAGGACCACCCACTCAGTCTGCAGCAGTCTAGGAGACCTGAGGAAGCAGAACACGACACAGACAGCCAATGTGCTCAACCAGCATACTGGGTGGGGCCGTCACACACTCATCTGTTCCTGTGTCAGGAATCGTGGTCAGACCTCCAGGGACCATAGAAATGAGTGGGCACTGTGGAGGAATGTGACTTGTTGGGCAAAGACAGTTCGAAACTGACTTCTTGAAGCTGGTCTGAAGTCACAGAGGGGATGGAAGATCAGGACAAAACATTTAAAGTGTAAAGTGCAGCAGTATGAGAGCATGTTGCAGACAAACTGGGTTTAATAACTTGTGCAAGCATGAGAACTACCAGCCAAACAGCTGCGTTTCATTTTTAAAGCAGAACTAAAAACCACACGTTTTCCTGTCAAATATAAATTTGGTTCCTTGAACACTTTCACACTTCCTTCTCAGCCTTCGGATAAAATTGATGCTCAACTTGATGCTTTGTGAAAAATGAGCAGAAGAACACAAAGACTGGCTGATGGATCTTTATCTGTGGGTAAGAAACTTTATAATACTCTGAAACTGAATGAAGTTCTGATGGCTGCCAAGAATTACTTTTACAGTTTTGAAATTAATTATAAAAGGTTTAAAGTACTGAATGTAGATCTGCAGACTAGAGATGAAACTGTTGTTTGAAATAATTGAAAAGTAATTTAGTATTGAATTGATTAATTGTTTCAAGATGAAGGTAAAATGCCAAATATGTGCCAGTTGAAGCTCCTCAATGGTGCTGATGCATTTACTGAATATATAAATACGTACAGCACATACAGCATATATGATTTATCTGATTGGAAACAGAATGTATTTGGGTTTTGAATCAAACACGACTTTTACAGATTCTGTGCTCAAGAAAACAGTCAGACTTTTTTTTTCTTTCTTTGAGATAAAACAACAAACTGATTATTGAAAGTAATAGAAGACAGATTTATTTGAGTAAATGAAATAAATATGTGCACCTCGACAAAAAAAATCCCCAAACAAACCATTTAATTTAGACAGAAAATCTGTGTTTAATCTATTATGTCCATCTGTACAACAAAACCCATTGAACTGAGACATAACATTTATGTTTAATCTGAATATCATTAAGAGGAAGTCAAGGGAGACGATGACTATGTTAATGCAGCAGTTTGCTCTGTGGAGCAAAAGGAAACCATTCCAGGTGAACAATGCATGTCAGAAATATAATGTGACTGTTCAGCAAACCATTCTTTTTCTTCATACAGACATANCCTGCCTTCACCCTGAGTCAGCTGGGATAGACTCCAGCCCCTCCAAGACCCTAGTGAGGATTAAGCCACGTATAGATAATGGATGGAACTTGTACTAAAGTAGTCGTTTAACAGCAAGTGAAAACAAGTAAATGTGTAAAAGTGGAATCATTAATAAGGGATTACACCGAGACAAAGCAAAAACTTGACTAACTGATGTCAGTTAGGCTGCACTCCCTTTCAAAATAGTCTGCTTGTGCTGCTCCCAGCTCTCCTGCCATGTTCGTGACAGTCCCTGGAAGTCAGCGTTGGCAATTTTAACCCTGCACAGAGAGCAAACATGTCAAACTGGCCTTTCATTCATGTTGGGGATGACCAGTGGCGATGAAAGTTGGGCAACAGCAGTTTTCAGAGGAGTAGGTCTTCCAAACTAAAGAAGGTGCACTGAGAGATAATCAGACTCTCAAACTTAAACGTTGTTTTTTTGGAGAGAGAGAGAGACAGGAAATGTGGAGAAGGGCATGCAGCAAATGATCTGTGGGACGGACTCGAACCACGGTTGCTGCTTTCAGCTCCTGTACATGAGTCACTTGCTCAACCTGTTGAGCTACCAGGACTTCCTCTTCTATCGTAACACCCTGAGGGAGAACATTTGACACACATCACCTCAGTTGTAACGCATGCATTCATGCGGAGCCCCAGACATGACATGGTCAAAATAAAATTAAATCGTGACCACAATATCGCTATAATGTGCACAAAACACTAATTCGTTCCCACGTTATAGCTAAATTGTGGCCACGAAATAAGTACAACGTGCGCACTAAATACTAATTTGTGGCCATGAAGTAATGTGTGCACGAAATATTAATATCGCTCCTGGACGACTGGGTAAGCAAATCGAGCGCACCTTCTCTGCAGTGCCCTACTTACAATCACACCGGTTTTTGGTTGCACCCCCACAATCGTAGCTCCCCACCAACCCTCACTGCCAGTTTGGCTCACCGTGACCTCCTCCCCAAGACAAAATTCTGCTGAAAAGGCCGCCGACAGAAAAAAAATCCACTGCGGATTGCTTGTGGTGCTTGGCGAGCTTACAGAACAGAACTTCTAGGGAACGTAGCAAATAGTGGCAGGAGCACTGGGAGCGGTGCATCGCTGAAGAAGATGACTCCTTTGAAGGTTCTAGCAGCAATGTTTGAACCAGGCCTTGATTACTTGTTTATAGGCGCAGTCAACGACGCTATGAAGAGCGGTGGGAAGGCAGATCGTTCAGTCCTTGGAGATGCTTTGTCATCAATAAACTCAGAATATCACTGAGGATTTAAAGTGTTCACTTATTGGGCTGTCATGGACCAATGACAATGCAAAGAGGAGACGTTGTACGGAGGACACTATGACAGAGCATGCACGTTTGGTTTTATTAACTCTGACTGCTAACGCCTTATGTTTATATTTTTTGTTCAGCAGGATTCTTGCAGGACAAGAAAGCACACGGCCGCCTTCGCCGCTATCAGCAACTGGCCTGTGGTTTGGGGACTGTATGTTTGATTTTGCTACTGGGCGTCATAGCAGGCTGTATCTACAGTAAGTATGCAAAAACCAGCAGTGTATGCATAAGCTTATACAGTCATCCTCCAATGTATTCCTACCCTTCCATTAAAGAAAAGGCAAAATTCACAAAAGTCACTCAAATAACTAGAAACTGAAAACAGTAATAATAATTAAAAATTTGCTAAATTATGATTGAGTGAAATGAGACATTGCTTTTGAATTGTGGTTGAAAAGAATAATTTAAAAAAAAAAAATTGTCCAGGACAAATGAGAGCACTTTGCTGATGAGCAGTGAAATCCAAACATACAGGTGCAGACGTCTGACTGAGAGTTACAGAAAACACCTGATGGCAGTGATTGGCTCAAAGGGTTGTTCAGCTAAATGTTAGTTTACGGGTCCCATCATGCTTATTTGCTCTTTTTTTATTTTATTTTTTTTAATGTATATATTTTTGTTGAACCACAATTCAAAAGCAATGTCATGATTTTCATAGAATTTTTATTTGTCATTACTTTTGTCAATTTCAACTTATTTCAGCTGTTTTTTCCTTCTTTAATGGGAAGGTTGAATAAATCTGAGGACGACTGTATTTTGAAATGTCACTAGTTTTATTACGTAGCCATTATTTGACAGGAGTCATACATTTGCAGCAGTCAGAAGCTCAAAATGTTGTTTCAAGCAAGTTTCTGCTTGTATTTTTATTTTATTTTTATTTTTTTTTAATATTTATCACGAACAGTGTTTGTTTCTGGACACAATACTGAATACAGATAAATAGGCCAGAAGCAGGTCATTGAAAACACTTCAGTTGGGTTCTTGAATACATGTCTTTTTCAACATTTACGGCACATTGCGCATTAATGAAGCTGGTTGTACTGCACGTTTCAACAGTCCAGTCACTCTACCAGTCAGTCTAAAAGAGAAAATAACCTGATTTTGTTTCTTAACATCAAAACGGAGAGAGAGAGGAAAAAAAGGACATGCAAATTTCGATAAATGTCACGATCAACAATAGCAACAGTAACTCTTGACCACATGTTTTATAGCTTTGTGATTATTTGTTTTTGTTGCGCGCAGTACATCCCTGGAATAAATGCAAATCAGCTAAAGATTGGTCACACTAGCGAGCTGTAACTGAAGGCTTCAGGCATCAGGTTTTAACACGATTCTACATGTACAGTCCAGATGCCATGAAGGATGACTACGACATCAAATCCTCAGTTGCAAGAAAAACAAAACAAAACACAGCAAATATATTGTTTTATTCGTGTTGGAGTAATGTTTACTTATGGCTACAGTGGCCTGCTGTTTTTGTGAATTTAAAATATTTGCATCTTTTCTATGAACCGGTGAACCTTTGGCTAAGTGTTAGATTGGCAGTGTGAGTTATAAAATACTGAAAGATGAGGGCGAGCACATTGTCGGTTTTAGTCTTTTGTGGGATTTCCGTTGATCTTATAGATTAAAAAACAAAAACACATGGGTATTTGTCATGGGGGCTGCAAGGTGGCTTAGTAGTTAGCATCGTCGCCTCGCAGCTAAATCGTTCGTGTCCCGGTGAGGACACCCGGGATCTTTCTGCGTGTAGTTTGCATGTTCTCCCCGTGCAGCGTGGGTTCTCTCCGGGTTCTCCTGCTTCCTCCCACACAGTCCAAAAACATGTTGAGGTTAATTGGTGATTCTAAATTGTCCGTAGGTGTGAATGTGAGTGTGCTTGGTTGTCTGTCTCTAAGTGTAGCCCTGTGATAGACTGGTGACCTGTCCAGGGTGTCCCCTGCCTTCACCCTGAGTCAGCTGGGATAGACTCCAGCCCCCATGACCCTAGTGAGGATTAAGCGGTGTATAGATAATGGATGGCTGGATGAATGGATGAATGGGTATATTTCATCTCCTAAAGCTGAGAAACGTGAAGCAGAACAGCAGCAGGTACCTGTGATCAGTGGCAAAATGACAAACACGCAATAAAAAAAGAACAAAACTGTACTATTATTATTACTGTCCCTTAAAAAGCTCATTTTCATTTTGCAGTTTCTAGGTTAAATAATGTGAGTGATGTAAGTCAGCTGAACCACATAAGAGACAACCAAACCGCTTTAATGGCTGTCAATCGCAACCTGACAGAAAGCAACGACAAACTCAGCTCAGACAATGAGAAGTTGAGGAAGGACCACAGCAGTCTGACAGTCCAGTTAGACAACCTGAAACAAGACTATGCTGTCTTAGAAAACAACATCACCAACCTGACTGAGGCAAACTGGAACCTCACAATGCAAAACCAGGAGCTGGAGAAGGACAAGAAAAACCTAACAGAACAAATACAGAACATGGAGACGAGCTGGAATGAGCTCAACACCAGTCGAGCTCAGTGGACCATTGATGCCTACTGCCCAGAAAACAAAGGAAGTATGTTCACATCCCAGTAGCTACAAATATACTAATAATAATGATAGCAGTGTGCACTAATGTTATTTATTTATTGGTCTCTATTGTTGCAGATCGACAGTGTAAACCCTGTCAGGATGGCTGGGAAATGTCTGAGTCCAACTGCTATGTAATTCATAACACTGATAACTATGATGAGCTGAAAACCTGGGAAGAAGCTCAAGAAAACTGCAGAGGAAAGAATTCAGATTTGGCTGTTGCTGCTACTGAAGCACAAAAGGTAATGAGGAGAGTTTGACTTTTTTTTCTAACAGTATTCTTTGTAGACCTGAACACAGCCTGAGTCTGTTAGTTACAGTGTGTTTAGAGTAAAATATTTCAGCATCTCTGATAACTTTGTCCACGTTTTTCTTAGAACGTTGTCACTGGATATAGTTGGCCTGGAAACTATAATCAATACTGGATTGGCCTGAGAGCTGAAGACAATAAATGGAAGTGGGTCGATGGAACTGATCTGACTGAAAGGTAACAGACACATTCAGTAATTTAAATCACAAAATCCATCACTGTCAATCTAACCAATTCTTTCCTTCAGCTCCTGGATTCAACAACCTCCTCCTGAAGGTTTTTGTGCAGTTTCTGTCAATAATGCAGGATGGAGGGCAGTGAGCTGTGATATGAAGAACCGATGGATCTGCCAGAAGAAAGCTTTGTCTGTTTAAGTCAGCAGTCAGCTGGGTCATGATTATCAAAACCATGAAGACTTCTATGTCACATTAATCAAGTCTCTTGTTTCATTTGATATGAAAATGTAGGAGTGTGTGTGTGAAAACCTGGTAGTTTGATCATGTGGGTGTTTTCAGTCTGCTCCACTGAGAAAAATACAGTAGCTTACCTATCAGGGCAAATGTTGTTCATCTGTAACTTTACATTATCATTTTATTTGCACTGCAATAGATGCACGCACAAGTTTGATATCAGCAGACTGATAAAAGGAACCAGCAAAACTCTTCAGCTTCTTGTTTC